TCATTTGAATTCAGAATGCTTATGCTTCATGCAGGAAATTTAGAGAAAAAGTTAAAGTGAATTGTAACAATATATAAGGAAGCAACTTTTAAATAAACCTTAGGTAAAGTTGATGACTCACAGAATTCCATAAAGGTAGCATAACAAATACATTTGAAGACAAGATGATATATCCTTAGAAATATTCAAGAAGTTGGCAACTCTGCTGATTGGCCATGTTGGTAGAGCTCTCAGCTACAGAACATTCTAGAATGACTTACCATGCAGACCTTATAATCTATTTATAATCTATTATAAATAGTCTCCTTATAATCTATTTTCTTATTCTTCAGACACTACTTCCTATTTCTCCTCAATGCCATAAACTGATATACATATATTTACTTAAATATTTTATCGCCATGCATGTCCCTTCTATAAGGTTCTAAGTTCCTAAACAACAGGGACAATATTTACTAATTATAACAGCTACCCCTGAGTATCTGGTAATTAACTTGCTATCATGTCACTTTCACTATGGTTTGTTTCTGAGCTGCTCTCACAGATCTTTATACACATGGTCTCTAATTTTTATAACTCTGTGGGGGGAAATAATATATTACTACTCTTGTTTTATAGAGATGGTAACTAAAGAGAAAAAACTTTCATTATTTCCAATTTAAGGGCCAATGACACAGATTTTGAACAATCTCTCTGGCCTCAGTCTTCATGATTTTTCTTAAAGGAAAGCACTTTTTATTAGAAATTATAAATTTAGCAGCTTCAAACAGAATTCATTTATTAGTTCATGTCTGTGAAGGTCAGAAGTTTGGCATGGCTGGGGTCCCTGATCAGGGTATGATAAGGCTGAAAGCAAAGTGTCTAACCTGACTGAATTCTTTTCTTTCCTCTTTTTTTGGAGCACATCCTCAAAAGCTAGTACAATAAATCCTGCCTTGGGCTCTTCCTCACACCCACAGTTATCATTTGGCAGAAAAACGTTATCAGCATGCCTGAGCAAACGTTATCATGCCTGAGCTATCCATAGAATCCCTTAGATTAAGTATACTCACTTTGTTCTGCCAGTGGTTAAGTCTCCCTTGCTTCTCTTCCCCAGGGCTTGTTGTAGGCAACTTGTTTTTCTGGAAAGAATAAACGCACCAGGTTCAGTTACAAAATATATATAGAAAGATTCAAAACAAAGTCCTTCTCCTAGGGCAGTGGTCGGCAAACTGCGGCTCGCGAGGCTCATGCGGCTCTTTGGCCCCTTGAGTGTGGCTCTTCCACAAAATACCGAGCGACTTCTGCGCATGGGCCACGAAGTTTCAATCGCACTGTACGAGCACACCCGCACGTGGTATTTTGTGGAAGAGCCACACTCAAGGGGCCAAAGAGCCGCAGTGGCTCACGAGCCGCGGTTTGCCAACCACGGTCCTAGGGGCAGGGCAGGTTACCAGCTGCCTAAAGCTCAGCTTCCCCACCCACACATACTTGCTCTAATTGACAAGGAACCAATCAAATGCTGTTCAATTGGATAAGTGTTTAATGGTTTCTGTGTGGAGAAGAAAGGGTTGTTGTGCTTCAACTGGGCACTCAGGGTTACTGCATACAGCTTCATCTAGGACAGAATAACAAATCCCTCAGGGGAGAAACAGGAACCCTCCATCATGTAGTTTTGATAGTGAGGAAGGCATGTAATAAGAATAGAGCCACAATTGTCTAATAATTATTCACCTTACTTACTAAATAGGAAGTTTCCTTACAGACTCTGGGAAACTGGAGTATGAAACAAGGCTGTAAAAAGATAAGGTGCCTCGATGAGTCCATTACTCAGAAAGGAAATATATTTTGAAAACAGACCAAGGACAGGACACACTTTGATTTGGTTGCTGTGCTGGAACCCTGACCCGCTCAGGGAATTTTTTTTCTGAATACTGACCATTCTCGGGGCCCAGGAATGGACTGAGCTGGTTGTATCATCATAGATTAGCCACCTGGTTATCCAACTTTGAACTCCTGAAGGCCAGACTGCAAACCCTCCCGTCCCCTTTCCATGTTACACTTGCAGCTCACAGCTGCACGTAGCTATCTTCTCACTCCTCTGTGTATATAATCAGCCAACTGTTGAGGGGGGTCTGAACAGAATTCCCAGGGTGACTAACTGCAGGCTCTATTGGAATAAATGCTCATGTATGATTCAACCCTGCCTCTGCTTAATTTGGCTCAAGTACTGACACGCAGCCTCGGACCATTCATTGCTGCACCTGCAGTTTCATTGCTGGCTTCCGGGAATGGGAACAGGACGTTCAGGCAGCATTTCTGTGGTCACTTGCCCAAATTCTAATAGTCAGGCAGGAACTAACTGCAACTGCAATATGCTTATATGGACACTGTCTGTATGTGAGTTGCTTTAGCAGGTTTTTAGTACATTTTATTCTAATTCCATTTTATGGTTAGTCATGTCTGTCATTTCCTAAGGCCCACTCAGTTCTAGAAAACCCACTTGAGGCCTTGGAAACTCAGACTGGCTGATGGACAGCCAAAGACTCCCTGGTCAGAGAAGATGCAGGTGCAGAAAGAGACAGAACTCTGAACATCAAGCCATTGAGAGGAAACTTCTCAGGCAAAGTCAGAGCCTAAAAATATTTACAAGAGTAAAAACATGTCTGTACTTAATAATATAAAAAGAGAAAGTCATTGCTAGGCTGTGCAGCAAAGGAAAACTGGATGGCACCTGGGATTTAGAGATTATTTCTATAATCTGCTGGCACGTAACCTTTAGGGAACCAATTGGCCATCATGGGTGACAATATTTAAATTGAAGGTGTACAAATCTAGAAGTTACAGACATAGCTATTTCTCTTTGAATTAGTTCCTATCCTTTGGTAAATAAAAGATATAGCCTCATAACTTTGTAAAATATCTTAAGACAATATTTGTTCTTGAGTACTATTGCATCGATGGCAACAGCATTTAAAAAGCCTAATAATTTTAGACGATGAACTCTCTCCAAAGGTCTTCTCAAAATTGTAGTTTATTGCACTAAAAACAACTTAGAAACCACACTCTCAAAACTGTGGTACTGTGGGAACCCTCTTCAGAGTACGCTGGATGTTCAAGGCCAATCTGAGCGTGGGAACCCTAATCAGGATGTTCAAAGCCAATCTGCGCAAGGACACAGCAATCTTTCTGTGTACACTTTGCAGGCATGCCTGCATAGCCCAAGTATTGAGGTCACTATTTGGCAAGAAGCCACTTTTGTCTAAGTTAGTATAAAGTATGTTACTGACCAGCCAGTGAGAGGCTGCCTGGTCAGACTACTTTGTGTGATAGCTCCTATGTTACTAAAGCTACTTTTATGTATGGGCCTACTTGTCTACAAGGGCTGCCTTGTGCGGCTACTTGGTCAGGCTACTTTGTTAGCAATGGCTCCTGTGTTTTCTACTCTATTAGCAAGGGCCGCTTTGTGTTTACTATTGTTTTAGCAAGAACTACTTTGTGGACAGCCTTGTTAGCAACAGCTACTTAGTCTACAATAAAGACTCTCTTATATGCCTATGATTGCTCATATTGTCTTCTCTGTCTAATACCCAGCACCCATGAAGGTCCAGTTCCTGGCAGGGGAACTGAGACCCCACAGTTAGCATAGTGAAGCAGAATCAAGGAAGAACTTACTCCAGCAATTGGTGCAGCGAGCAGGATTAAGTACATCCAACAGGTACTTTACACAATGGAATACTATCTATACTAATAATAGCCTAGGTGGTGTCATGCCCTCATGTCGTCACAAAATGGCTGTCATAAGATGGCTGCATGCACAGTGGAGAAAGGGCCTGGCAGCTGCTCCGCACAATGAGGCCTGTGGGCAGGGCCCAGCGGAGGAGTTGGGTCGCAGCAGGGGAGGGCAGTTAGGGGCAATCAGGCCCTGGCAGGGGAGGGCAGTTGGGGGCCATCAGGCCAGCAGGGGAGGGCAGTTGGGGACCATCAGGCTGGCAGGGGAGGGTAGTTGTGGGTGATCAGGCCAGCAGGGGAGGGCAGTCGGGGGTGATCAGGCCCCAGCAGGGGAGGGCATTTGGGGGCTATCAGGCCGGCAAGGGAGGAAAGTTGCTGGCAATGAGGTCAGCAGGGGAGAGCAGTTGGGGGCCATCAAGCCAGCAGGGGAGCAGTTAGGCATCAATCAGGCTAGCAGGGGAGCGATTAGTGGGCGATCAGGCTGGCAGGCATAAGCAATTAGGGGCAATCAGGCAGGCAGGCGAGCAGTTAGGAGCCAGTGGTCCCGGATTGTGACATCCCCTGAGGGATGTCAGATTAGAGAGGGAGCAGGCTGGGCTGAGGGTGACCCCCCCTGCATGAATTTCATGCACTGGGTCTCTAGTGTGGCAATATAAAAGAAAGAACTCTTAACACTTATAACAGCCTGGATAGCCTGGAGAGTATTATGCTAAGCAAAGTAAGCCAGTCACAGAAACATAAGTATCACCTGATCTCACACATATGTGGAATCTAATGATCCAAATAAACTGATGAAAAAATAGATCCAGAGATCCAGAGTCATGTTGAACCTTAGAGGGAAGGCAGAGGAGAGTGGGTGGTAAGAGATCAACCCTGAACTTGTATGCATGTATGCATAACCCATGGACACAGACAATGGGGTGGTGAGAGCCTGGGTTGGGGGACAGAAGTGGGCTGAAGGGAGTTAATGGGAGAAAAAGAGGAACATATGCTATACTTTCAACAATAAATATTTTTTTAAAAACCCAAAAACAACACTCTCTCCTTTGATACCCACAACAAATGCAGTTTCTTCAACCATGCTTGTTCTCTGCTTCACCCATCACTGCCAGAATAAATCATTTTCATCTCTGATCTCTCTCTACACACCCCTAAATTCTATCATGTGTTATAGAAATATGATTGCATGTTCTTCTTCTCTTGTGAGGCAGAAGTTCCTTGAAGTCAAAGACTTTGCAAGTTCACCATGTTCACACTCATCCTGACATTAATAGAGCTTTAAACATATCAAATGCTCAGTGCACTTTTATTCAGTGACAGTGATTGGGAGAATGAAGCTTGTGACGTCTAGACACTTGTTCCATTAGCTCATGAGCTCACACAGGTAAACACATGAATATCTGCACTAGACATCCCACAGGTGGATGTCCTAGGGAGGACCTCTTTGCTAAAATTCACTTTAAAGTCCTGTCTCCGTTTAAATGGAGGAACAGCATGATTAACCAAGCTGAAGTGAATGAAGTCCAAGGTGCCAACAGTTGGAGAGACACATTCCTTAGTTTGTCAGGGGGAAAAAAAAGCTGAGTTTCAGAAGCCCAGAAAGGGAGTTCTATTTTGGTTCCAGGGAACGACGCTTCTAGAACCTTTGGCTTATTTGGAATCCTGGACCTCACTGGAATAAGACGGTGGTGAGTTCACTGGTTCTGGATTGGCCACTGGGTTTGTCACATAGACAGTTTGAAAGACCACAGTGCCCTGAAAAAGACAGGTACATGGAGGTGCGTTAGTGAGAACCACAATTGCACAAGGCTTTAGATATTCCGGGACTCCCCATGTGCCTGGAGAGGAAACAAAAGCCTAACAACTTTTCTAGTGCCCACACTCTTTAGGGCATCTTTCCACCCACTAAGGGTCCTACAAACTCACGTTGTCATGTGAATAGCAGAATAGTTTGCAACCAAAGTGGGCAGATGTGCAGGCAATGCAGAACTCCAAGAGGCTAAAGATGAACAGCACAGCAGAAGTAGTCACTCCAGAGACCTGGAACCAGAAAGATAATGGAGGTCATGAGTGGTGCCCTGGGAGTGTAAGGTCTGGCTCAAAGCATGGCTCTGCAATGGACCATGGCTAAGGCTTTGAGGAAGTCCTCTAACCTCATCTCAGCCTCGTGTAGAAAATATCTCCCCAGGTTATGTGAGGGTTGAATATGTTTGTAAAAGAATTATTTTAACACTTACTACCTGTGTTGTTCTAAGGAAAAGGATAGTCATTGTTTAGGAAAACACCTTGATGGCTTGTTTGGGGTACAGGGCACGAAACCTAAGGATGGTGTCTGGAGTGAGACAGTGAAACAGTGAAACTGGTGTAGGAAGTGAAGAGAAATTTGGGAGTATGGACAGTCCTCAGAGAGAGCAAAGAAAGATGGATAGAGGAGAAAGACGTGACTGAGAAACATGAAGGGATGGTAGGGCCTACAGAAAAAAGGCATCTTGTGAGAAATTAACACATTACAAAGAAGGGATGTCTAACCTCCAGACATCAGTAGTTACCTCCATCATCCCTCTGAACCTTCAAAGAAAGTCAGCTACTAAAACAATCTTCCTGGCTTATGACCGTGGCATTTTGTGGAGATAAATAATTGGGACTGTCTTTAACTTAAGAAAACGGTCAGTAAAAGGATCTCCAAATGAAACTAATTCAGCAGTAGTCAATTTCATGTGAGCACCAGGAGACATCTAAGCCCTTTCCTTGCTGTTCTCCAACAATGCTCAGGAAAATTGGATCTCCCACTGTATCTGGGGAGAGAGTTTAGGTAGAATCCACTTTAATCATAAAAGGACAAGAGATGAATGACCCTAATAACATTTGGATTCCAATTACAGGAGAGAATAAATATGAAAATGAAAGTGCATGGCACATAGTAGGTATGAAACAAATGTTGGTCAATTATTATTTTAAAAATGGCATTGGTGATAGCTGGCTGCTCAGAGAATCCTCTCTCATGGAGAGACCCCTCCTTAGCACTTTCCTTCTCTTCCCTCTTGATTTAGCAAGCATTTATTAAGCATCTGTTTGCTATGAAAGACTAGGAAAGCATCCCGAGAAGCACAATCTAGTGAGGGAGGCAGATACAAATGCAGATAGTTATAATTTAAGTCAGACATGGTAAGAGCTATAAAAGTCCCAATAGTAGTGCCTCAGGGCACTGAGGAGAGAAAGTTTCATTCTCAGTAGAAGATTCAGTGATGTGGGTTTGAACATCTGTCCAGGCAAGGGGAACAGTAGTATGATGATGTCTTAAACAAGGAATCACAGAAGCTTAGGGAGAAGGGGCCTTTAAAAATGATGCTTGTCCTCTTCAAATATTTTTAACAACAACATTCTTTTATAAAGAAAGCTTTCTAATGGGAGGAGGGTTGGGAGGATGGGTGAAAAATGTGAAGGATATTAAGAAATCCAAATAGGGACTTGTAAAAACAGTCACAGGCAGGTAAATTAAAGTACAGTATAGGAATGTAGTCACCTCATAAGTTATAGGGGTCTAATCATTACACCATATACTTGAAATATAGTATTGTTTGTCAACTGTATTTGAAAAATTAAAACACCCTTCCATGAGAGAGAAGGGTTCCTCAAGCAGTTTAGATAGTTATTATTTGGTGAGTATTAATTCATGCTTGTTGAGACCTTGGAGCACCCCATGCCTTGGTTCATCTTTTGCTAAGCTATGTTGAAATCCAGACCTCCTTCTTTTGGACTGAAGCCAGAGGTATGTGGGTGCATGGGATGGAAGAGATCTTTTTCCAAGATCAGACATTGGCAGAACTGAGATTAGAAGTCAGGGTGGTGGCTCTAGCCAGTATGGTGACTGAGAAACTGGTGAAATGGCTGGATTCTGGATGCATTTTAAAGGTGAAATCAACAGGATTCCCTGAGGAGTTGGCTCAGAGGTGTGGGAGACAAAATGGGTCAATCAATGATTTCACCAGAGTTTTTTCTGAGTGATTTGAAAGATGCAGTACCATCAACCTGGAAAAGGCAACCTGTGAGAAGGTTTGGCAAATAAAAACTGGAGATGAGATTTGGACATGTTAATATCCAAAGATAAGATGGAGATTGGACAACTGGATACTAGACATGAGTTTGTGAGAGATGTTTTACCAGAACATAGACATTTGTAGTCATTGTCATAGGAAAGTGTTTCAAGTCACCAGACTGGATGGGATTGCTAAGGCAGAGAGTAGAGAGAGAAACACAAGAAAATTGAGGACTGAGTGTGAGAAATTGGGGGAAAGACAAGAACCATCAAAAGAAAAGAGAGCAACCAGTGTGGGTGCAGGAACACCAGCTGCAGGGCCTGAAAGCCAACGGGAAGTCCACCAAAGAGGAGGAATGATTGGGTGCTTGAATAGAGGAGTTTTTTGGAGAACTGAGGCTAAAAGTATGGCTAGCGTGGGTTAAAGAGAGATTATGTGAGAAGAGAATTGGAGACCGTAAGGCAGACAATTCTTTTAAGGAATTTTCTGCAGAGAGAGCCAGAGAAATGGAGTGGTAGCTGAAATAACCAAGAGAAAGTTAGTTTGTTATCCAAGATGAAAGAGACGAAAGTGTGTTCAGATGTTGATGGAAAAGCTGTAGCAAATGGCAGATAGTGATATAGAAGAGAGGTGGGGCCAGGGAGAGGGGAGAAGCACGTGGAGTAATAACTTGAGTGAGCAGAGAGGGCAGGGCTGCTGTGTAGAGGAAGACATTGAGTTTACATGGGACTCATCTATAGCTGAATTTTCAGATGTTAGCCAAGTGCCCCCTGAGGTCTTGAGATGTGTTGTAAATGCAAAATACACACTGGATTTCTAAGATGTGACACCCAAAATGCCAAATATTGATATAATAATTTTTTATACAGGTTATAGATTGAAATGATGTTTTATATTTATGGGGTTAAATAAATGTATTATGGAAATTAATTTCAGATTTTTTCACTCTTTAATATGGAGACTAGAAAATGTAAAGTCACACACGTGGCTTACATTAGATTTCTATTTGATAACATGGGTCTATAACATGGGATGGCTCATTTGCCTTTTCATTTCTATGGCTGCTTTCACACTGGATTGAGCACTGCAACAGAGACCAGATGGCCTGCAAAACCTTAAATGTTCACTCTCTGTCCCTTTCTGAACACCTTTGCTGATCCCTTTATCTATGAAAATGGGCAGGAAGGTGAACATGTGGGTAGATGTACAGGTTGGTGGGTACCGGTGCATTATCTCTATAACTGCATTTAATCCTCCCAACAATGTCAAAAGGTAGGTCCTCTTTTATAAAGATAGGAACTAAGACTAAGAAAAGTCACATGCTTGGAGCAGCAGCAATAACCTACAGGTCAGGGACTTGAAACTGTTCTGAAAGCATCTCTGTTTCCTTTGGTGCTTGGTGAAGCAGCTTGTTGGGACCAGGCCCTTTCCAATGATTTCCTAAAGATAACTACATTGGAAATCAGAGGAGAATTGGTCAAGAGAGATACTTACCATGCCACTGCAGGGATAGGAGTTGAAGGAGCTATGCAGGTTGTTGATAGCCATATCTGTGATGAGGAGCATGATTCCGACCAGAGAGCAGATTGCACTGGCGATACTCAAGCCCATGCTACCCTTCAGCTGAAGAAGATACAGAGAGAGGGTCAGTATGAGAGAGGAAAACAATTGTAGCTGAGATGAGCAGAGACACAACAAGTGCTTCATACCGTGAATTCCTGGAACCCTAGATGTGAGGCAAGTAAAGAGATGTCTTGTGCAAAATAGGTTTGGTGGTAAATTAACTTTGAAAACACCCGGGTTGCACAAAGTTAGATCTTTTGTGCAGGTCTTCTCAAAGTCTTTAACATGGATTATGGATCCCCTGGAGAGGAGACTACTAAATACAGATCCCTCCCAAGTTATCTAACTATCTTCATAAAGTATCTCGTGAGACAAGTATCCCCAAGAATAATGTTTAGGAATCACTGGACTCATTTATCCCACAGGACATTGGCAGGAGACTCAGCCCACGTGTTCTGGGATGTGACAGGCTCTGATGCTCCATGATTCTGGTCCATGTGCAGAAAGACATGCCCAGAATTGATCTTCCCTGTGGATTTTTTAAATAGATCTCATCTGGTGTAGGACCAGGTCATCCTGGGGAAAAAAGTACTTTCTTGGTCCAATATTTGGGGCCACCAATCCTTGCCCATGTTAATTCACAGAACTAGTTTGGAAGGATTCCTTTGGAAGCTGCTTCCTGAGCCTCCCCTGGCTTCCCTGTAGAAATGTCTGGCACTGGGCTCTGTGTGCTGCAGGCAGTCAGTGCCTGCTCTGCTGGAGGGCAGCCTAACACCCCTGGTTGTTTTTTGCCTCCTCTTGTAAGATCCTCTTAGGAAAGTTATTCTTTCTGTCTCTCCACACCCTGATGCTACCCTTCCTTCTACTGAATCTTCTGGACTCTTTCCCATTTGTGACTCTGGCCAGGTTTATATGGTCTTGTGAGTATGAGTGAGCATGCATGTCAGTGCCCTGTGTCTGGTTATAAGTAGGTTCAAGGATAAGGGAGGCATTGTGTATGAGCTTGTTTCCCTCCATGTTTGTGTCCCCTAAAGGTCCACAGCTGGGAGAGCCTGTCTCAGGGTGGGACTTACCAGGCAAGAAGATCTTGGTAGCTGTTCTGATGTCACTGAGAAGGATCCTGAAATGATGAACTGGCACAGAAGAGAGGGAGTTTAGAAAGAGCCCAAAGAACCCTAGCTGGTTTGGCTCAGTGGACAATGTGTTTGCCTGCAGACTAAAGGGTCCCAGGTTTGATTTCAGTTAAGGGCACATGCCTGGGTTGTGGGGTTGATCCCCAATGGGGGGCACACAGGAGGCAGCCAATCAATGATTCTCTTTCATTACTGATATTTCTATGTCTCTCTCCCTCTCCTTTTCTCTCTGAAATCAATAAAAGTATATTTTTCAAAAAGATAAAAAGAAAGAGGCCAGAGGTCAGGGCCCCACTTTCAGGCTTCTGTGTTTCTGATCACACACATGTTCTCTCATACATGCTAGGATCATCTGCTGGGACCTCCTACTCAACTCAAGGGAGGGTTAAAAAGGGAAGGAAAGGGAAGGAAGGAGAAGGGGAAAGGAAAGGGAAAGAAGATAAGAGAAGAGAGAAAAGAGGAAAGGAAAGGAAAGGAAAGGAAAGGAAAGGAAAGGAAAGGAAAGGAAAGGAAAGGAAAGGAAAGGAAAGGAAAGGAAAGGAAAGGAAAGGAAAGGAAAGGAAAGGAAAGGAAAGGAAAGGAAAGGAAAGGAAAGGAAAGGAAAGGAAAGGAAAGGAAAGGAAAGGAAAGGAAAGGAAAGGAAAGGAAAGGAAAGGAAAGGAAAGGAAAGGAAAGGAAAGGAAAGGAAAGGAAAGGAAAGGAAAGGAAAGGAAAGGAAAGGAAAGGAAAGGAAAGGAAAGGAAAGGAAAGGAAAGGAAAGGAAAGGAAAGGAAAGGAAAGGAAAGGAAAGGAAAGGAAAGGAAAGGAAAGGAAAGGAAAGGAAAGGAAAGGAAAGGAAAGGAAAGGAAAGGAAAGGAAAGGAAAGGAAAGGAAAGGAAAGGAAAGGAAAGGAAAGGAAAGGAAAGGAAAGGAAAGGAAAGGAAAATTTGGTATATCTTGCCCATGGTAGATCCTGTACATAGTAGATACTCAGCAAAATCACTTCTTTTCTTGTCATTTGTTTTCTCACAGGCACTTCTTGTTGGCCTCCCAAAACAATTCACTCAGGCATAGGGGCTCTGGAGAGAAGGAAGGCGTCCTCATATTTTCACTACTTTGAGATAAAAGCCCAGTATCAGTCATTTCCTGTATCCAATTTGGTACCTTTTAGTACCAAATTTCAGAAGAATGTTGCCTCTCTGCAAAGATGAACATCAACTATGAGGGCGACAGGATAGATTGTGTGCATCTATTTCAACACTGATGTTCTGCAGGCATAGTGGCTGATGGGATTCCCTGCTGTCAGTGACAGTCTGAAGGTCATCAGCTATGGTTTAATGGAAGCTTTGCTCAGCCCTACATGAAGTGCTTTTAACTTTGCCTTACTTAACTCCATGATGGCCCACCAAGCACCATTATTATTTCCAGTTTAAGGAGGTGTGGACTGAGGCTTAAAAATTTTAAAAGACACACCCAAGACCATCCAGAAAATAGCATAACTGGAAATAAAATCCAGGTAATTGACTCCAGATCTCATGTTCTTAACCCTCATCCTGCACTCATTCCACCTCAGAGTAGATGCCTGTGCCTTGGAATGGAAATGGGTATTCACAATGAAAACTTACTCTAGCCACCAATGCCTTGTAAGAGGAATGCCATTTTTCCTATAAGTGGGAAAATGAGTCTCAATTTTATGTTTTCTACAGACTTTGTAGGAAAGGAAGGAAACAGAAGACTGGACTTCTGGTGTCCCTGCTGGTCTTTTTAAGGTGCCTAAGGAGAGGGTCTTTGGTTTGGAAGAGGACCATATGATCTTTAGAAAATAGACAGTCCTAAAAAAAAAAAAGAAAAAAGAAAATAGATAGTCCTAGAGTCAGTAAGGCAACAAAGAACAAAAGTGCTCTGCAGGAAAAAGGGAGGGTGGTGTCATAAGGGTTGATGGGACCTGAGCAGCCTAGTGGGAGGGGAAATGGCCACCAGGGCCTTTGAAATGCCTTAAGAGAATCTAACACTCAACAGGAACTGTTTTGTGGCTGTGGTATTAGTCTTTTCCATTTCTCCAAACTCCACAGAAGTCTGTTATACACACAGGTGTCTGTGGTTGGCTGAGTTCCAAGTCTGGGTCTGCTGAACAGAGGGAAGACCTCAGCCTCAGAAAATGAGACTTTTATGGGAACAAGAGAGAGCAGGTGCTCAGACAAAAATGCTCCCAAGAATCTAAGCCCTGCAATTTTGCAGATGCTGTGTGTGTGTGTGTGGGTGGTGGACAACTCTATTTAAATCTCATGGTATATGGTGACTTTGCTGATGTCCACGCTACTCTGGAGTTTTGTTATTTTTGAGAAAACTCCCTTGGGTCACAGATATGTGATTTGAGAGAAAAATTGTGTTATAGTGGGTAGAAAAGGACATTATTGATGGGAGAGGGATTGGATTGCATATGTGTGCCTGTGGAGGAGGGAAGACACTAAGGAGAATGGAAAAGAATCATAAAGGCAATATATTGGAGAAAAGAAAGGATCTGTGGTTTTTAACCTTTTAAAGGATTATAGATCACCCCGAAAATGTGATCAATACTATGGGCTTTTCCATAAAAACAAAAACTTCTATGTACCAAATATTTTGTAACAAGGTGGACTCTGAGCCCATCAGAGGACTCCAGGTTGAGTACCCACTGCTTAATGACTGTTCTGTGGCTGGGCAGACACTCAGTTACTGGCGAAATGTTTTCTCCTGGAGCTCCAGTTGTGGGCCTTTGTCCAACAGCACTTGAGCACTGGGGTGATGAACTAGGAAAAGGTTTCCTAACCTCTAAGGTGGACTAATTAGAAAAGGTGACCTAATTGGGGTGATGGTGCCTTATAGGGCTGGGACTTGGTATTATGAGCTGAAGTTTATCTCCTCATAATCCATTTTTGAAGTCTAAACCCCCAGGACCTCCAAATGTGACTGTATAGATATTACCAGACTCACTATAGTTGGAACTATGACTTTTTTTTTGACTTTACAATGGTGTGAAAGCCATACACATTCAGTAGAAACTGTTCTTTGGATTTTGGATTTTGACATTTCCTGGGTGAGTGATATGTGGTAACATACTCTCTGGTGATGCTGGACAGAAGCAGCCAGCCTCAGCTCCCTGTCAGCCATGCAATCACGAGCCTAAACAACCCATTCTCTACAGTGTAGTATTTAATGCATTTTTGACTCAGGATATTTTCAATTTATAATGGGTTTTTGGGGCTGTAACCCCATCATAAGTTGAAGAGCATCTATATTTGAAGATAGGGCCTTTAACAAAGTGGTTAAGGTTAAATGAGGTCGTGTGGATGGGCCCTAATCCTATATAATAAAGAAGGAATATGAAATTGACCGTCACACCCTTGCACAAGATGGCCACCCCCATTTGGTCACAAGATGGCCACCACAAGATGGCCGGCAGGGGATGGCAGTTGTGGGTGATCAGGCCAGCATGGGAGGGCAGTTAGGGGGTGACAAGGCCGACAGGAGAGGGCAGTTGGGGCGACCAGGCCTGCAGGGGATGGCAGTTAGGGGCAACCAGGCTGGCAGGGGAGGGCAGTTAGAGGTGACCTGGACTGCAGGGGAGGGCAGTTAGGGGCGACCAGGCCAGCAGGTGAGGGCAGTTGGGGGGGACCAGGCCTGCAGGGGAGGGCAGTTGGGGGTGATTGGACCCTGCAGGGGAGCAGTTAGACATTGATCAGGCTGGCTGGAGAGTGTTTAGGGGCAATGAGACAGGTAGGCAGGCAAGCAGTTGGGAGCCAGCAGTCCCACAGGGATCGGGCCTAACCCAGCAGTTGGACATCCCCCGAGGGGTCCCAGATTGGAGAGGATGCAAGCTGGGCTCAGGGATACCCCCCTCCCCCCGTGCACAAATTTCATGCACTGGGCCTCTAGTAAAATATAAGTGGTGTTCTAATTAGAAGAGCTACGAGGACAGAGACACACACAGAGGAAGATCATGTGAAGACACAGGGAGGAAGATAGCCATCCACAAGCCAAGGAGAGAGGTCTCAGGGGAAACAACCCTGCCCACGCCTTGATCTTGGACTTCCAGCATCCAGAACTATCTTATATAATAAAAGCCTAATATGCTAAGTGTCCAGTCAATATGCTAATGATATGCTAAGGCTGCTCAACCACTTGCTATGACATGCACTGACCACCTGGATGCTCAACCGGTAGGTTAGCTTGCTGCTGGGGTCCAGCCAATTGGGACTGAGCCAGATGGGCCGGACATGCCCTGGAGCCCTCTCACGGTCCCTCCTCAGCTGGCCAACCTCCCATATCCCTCCCCAGACCTGATGGTGCACCGGTGGGGTCCCTTGGCCTGGCCTGTGCCGTCTCGCAATCCAGGACCCCTCAGGGGATGTCAGAGAGCTGGTTTTAGCCCAGCAGTGGAATGACTGGTCACTATGACACACACTGATCACCAGGGGGCAGACGCTCAATGCAGGAGCTGCCCCCTGGTGGTCAGTGTGCTCCCACAGGGGGCACGCTGCTCAGCCAAAGCCGAGCTCATGGCTGGCAAGCACAACAGCGGTGGCGGGAGGCTCTCACACCTTTGCAGGAGCACTAAGGATGTCTGCCTGCCGGCTTAGGCTTGCTTCCCCCAGGGAGTGGGCCTAAGCCAGCAGTCGGACATCCCCCGAGGGCTTCTGGACTGTGAAAGGGCGCAGGCCTGGCTGAGGGGCCCGCACTTGGGATTGTATTGCCAAGGTGAGCCTGAGTGTGTTGGCACTTTCTGGAACTCACTTGCAGGGCAACTTATGTTACTTACCAAGATGCCTCCCCAGAAGGGATAGCCTCCATAGAATGAGATAGCGGTGTAGTACCAGAGAACGATGGTGCCTATGACACTGCCAAGGCCAATGTGTATCAGGCCGATCAGGATCTGGATGGCCTGTTAGAGGAACCAAAAGCTGAGACCTTTGTCTCTAAGGACGAATCTTAACCCCTGCACCCTTGGGACCCCTTCTTATTTTAAAAAATATTTTGTTTCCTTTATTGGTCAATAAAGTCATATTTAAAATGTACTAATGAAATAATACTTCCCATAATTTCCCCCCACTCAAAGAAAACAATCACTTGTATTTTGGTGTATAAACTTCCATTATTTTTTTCAAATATATACACTGATTATACAAAAGGGCTCTGCATATTTAACTTAATATTTCATTATGAAAACATCCCCATGGTATTAAGTATTCTTTAAATATATGCTTTATAAGGTTGCCCACATCCCATTATGTGGATGATCTGCGGAAGAGTTGGAACAAAGATATTGGGAAGGTGTAATATGTTGCCATATTATAAACAACACTGCAATGAACATCATTTTGTAGATAAGTCTTTGTGCTCATTTTTTATTTCTTTGGAATATTGTTTTGTATTGAATTGTGTCTTCTCTCGCTCATCAAATTTATATATCTCTATTTTTTAATCTTCATGTGAGGATTTTTTTATTGATTTTGAGAGAGAATGGAACAGAGAGATGATAGGAGAGAGAGAGAGAGAGAGAGAGAGAGAGAGAGAGAGAGAGAGACTGGTGTGCAAGAGACACATCAATTGGCTGCCTCTCACATGTGACTGGACTGGGGCTGGGTATTGAACCTGCAACCCAGGTACATGCCCTTGACTAGTAATCAAACCTGCCACCCTTCAGTGCACAACAATTGAGCAATTCTGACCAGGGCTCAAATTAATATTTTGAAGTTCAAACCTCCAGTGACTCAGAATGGAATCTCATTTGTAAATAGGGTTGCTGCAGATGCAATTAGATAATATGAGGTATAATGGAATAGGGTAGCCCCTATATGACTGCTATCCTTTCAAAGGAATGCCATGTGAAGAGAAACATGTGCACCCAGGAGAATGCCAAGACGGGAGTTACGGTGCCACAAGTCAAGTACCTACTGGAAGCTGGGAGACTGGCCTGGAACAGATCCATCCCCAGAGCCTTCAGAGGGAGCATGGCTCCATGGATACTATGATTACAAATTTATGAACTGAGATAATAAATTTATTGTGTTCTAAGCCACCCAATTGGTAGTACTTTTTTATGGCAACTCTAGGAAACTAATAATATATTCATGCTCAAAATATATAAAGAATACAAATATGTTATTCCATTGAACTTGCACAAATGGTAGAAAATTATACAAAATATCTTCCCCCAATTCTTTTTCTCAATGATATAGCTTGGGAGTATGTCCATATAATTACATAAGGAGCTAAGGAGTTCTATTTTTATTTTAAAAACATTTTGTATTAAAAAAACAAGTTATCATTGACTTTAGAGAGAGGAAGGGAGAAGGGAGAGAGAACTACTGATGAGAAAGAAACATTGATCGGTTGCCTCCTACTGGATATGGAGTCTGCCATCGGGCATGTGCCCTGACTGGGAATAGAGCTGGCGACCACTGAGTACATGGCATGAAGGTCAACCAACTGAGCCACACTGGCCAGGGCTAAGAGTGTCTTTTTCATAGCTCCATCACATTTCATTCTTTAGACATACAATATATTGACTTAACCAGTATTATACTGATGAATTTTTTGGTTGTTCCCATTCTTTAGCTATTGTAACAGGGTATAGGGTTTAAAAAAACTTTACATCTAATTAACTAACTAATCAAAGATTAAAAGTAAGAATATACTAATAAAACTTACAGTCTTAAATATTAATAATTTCATATTTAAGCATGTTAAGGCAGAAGCAGTTCCAGTTGCCCTTTTCACTGGCCTCTACCATAAATGTGTAGTAGATACCGATGGCTGGACAGGCCTATAACATCCTGATGCCAGAAATAAAACCCACAGAGAGAGAGAAAATCACCAGGTGCTGACAGACATGAAAGAGGTCATCAAACCCACGTGAGAACCCAAATGTAAAACTAATGTCAGCATTCCTTAATGCCCTTCTTTCCACAATCCCTCTATAAAAGTCTTTTGCCTACCCTGAGACATTAAGATGGTTGCTAAGTCACGAGTCTGCCATCTTCTCAGGTAGTCAGCACCTAAATAAATCACTTTTCTTCCATCAGCAATGGTGTCATGAATTTGGCTTCACAGCAGCAGGCAAAATACCCTGAGGGTCATTTGGGCCAGTTTCACTATCACAAACCATGTTGCAATAAATAACCTCATACATGTCATATTTCTTATGTGTACAGGCATATCTGCAGGACAAGTCTCAGAAATTGAATTATTGTATATTTTAAAATTTGGCAGATACAGAAAGCCCTCCATACAGGTTGTATCAATTGACATTACTATGAGCAGTATATGGGGTGGGGGAGGAGTTAGGATTTGAACCCAGGCAGCCTGAATCAGAATTCATGCGTTGTCTTGTCCAAGCTGGTTTGGCTCAGTGGATAGAGGGTGGTCCTGCAGACTGAAGGGTCCCAGGTTCTATTCTGGTCAAGGGCCCATACCTCAGTTACAGGCTCCTCCCTGTCCCAGGCCAAGGCTCTGATCCGGGCACATTCAGGAGGCAACCAATCAATGTGTTTCTCTCACATCGATGTTTCTCTCTCTCCCTCTCTCTCTTCCTCTCTCTAAAAGATCAATGGAGAAATATCCTCAGGTGAAAATTAACAACAACAACAAAAAGAGTCCATGAGTGTCTTCTTTCACCCAAGCAATGAGATGGGCTTTCCCTGGTCCCACCCTGGACAGCCTTTTGGGGGAAAATCATCAAAAGTTTATATCTTATTCACATTGGAGAGAGATTCCATTCAAGCACATTGGGTTTAGAATCCACCTTCTGATTCACTGGACCCACCTTCTTCCAGAGGCCACATGGGTCAACATGGATTCTGGCAACAAGACCAACATTCCAATTTACTGCTTCTTTTTTGCTTTTCTTTCTCTTTACTAAAATACCCAAGAGAGATAATACAAGGTCCCACACGGAGGCCCTGGTGATGCTGTAGAGCTGAGCTTCTTAATAGACCTGAGTTTGGCAAGGCTGGTCAGCTCCAGCCCCACTTGCTGGCTTTGGAGTTTCTGTATTTCCAAACCTCCTCCTACCCCTGACTCCAGCCATGTGGCCAGTGAACACAGTGTGAAACTCACTTACCCCTAAAACTTTGCCCTCTTTTAAGGATCTCTGGGCAGGTTGCATGGGCACAGGCGGCTCCAAACCAGGTTGGTTCCCAGAAATTTGGTGGACTTGGGGTTGGTTGAGTGGATACAGGGGCACCTGAGACATGCTTCCGGGGTTCATAGGATACCCATGGTGGGATGCCATCACAAACACAGAATTGGCCGTGGGGCGTTCTGAAGTCATCAGATTCATGCTGTTAAGGTATAAATGCAGTAGAGTCATCCCTCACATGTACACTAATGTTTTCATTGAAACATAACTTTTGCTTTCATTAAGTCATTTGAGCATCTAAATCCCCTATGAGTTTATTGTTTGAGATATTAGGCAGCAGTTAGAGAGCATAAATGCAGTCAGTGCTTTACAAATACATTTTCTTGATTCCTCACACCTTGCCAGTTTTCCAGGTGAGAAAACCGAGGCCCAAAGTGGATAAGAACTATGGAGGGCAGGGCTGTGTCGTTTTCACTTTTGTATCTCTCGTTGTGCTTAGCAGGACATTTTGCACAAAGTGGTGCTTCAACACTGCAGAGCTGGAGAGTCTCCAGGAGAACAGTGTGTCTAATTCTCTTAATTTCTGAAAAAGGAAACTGAGGCTGGGAGTGTGGACATGGATTCCCCTAGTTCACAGCCGTGTAAATATTCGTTAAATGGCGATCCTTATCCTCCAAGGAAGCCCATTGCCAAGGCTGAGTGTATTCACTGGAGGGCTCATGGTATTCAGTGTTCTAGGTCACTTGTGAATTCTGGTTTCGGTTTTTTAAAATTTCTTTCTTTTTTTTAAAGAGATACATAGTAAGTTAAATTTATTTTGCTTCTTCCACTGTGCATTTCATTTGGATACAGAACTCTTATGTTTCATGCAGGAAATTTAGAGAAAAAGTTAAAGTGAATTGTAATAACATCAGGAAGCAACTTCTAAATAAACCTTAGGTAAAGGTAATGACTCACAGAATTCCATATAGGTAGCATAACAAATACATTTGAAAATAAAATGGTACTGTACATCTTCAGAAATACTCAAGAAGTTGGCACCTCTGATGATTGGTAAGTTCTCAGCTCTAGAATATTCTAAAATGACTTAACATGCAGACCTGAATCTCCCATCTGAAAGAGTGAATTCTTTGGAGCATTTTATTAGGTGGGATTTATAATCTATTTTCTTATTCTTCAGACACTACTTGCACTTTCTCCTCAATGCCATAAACCGATATACATATACTAGAGGCTCAGTGCACAAAATTTGTGCATGGAGGGGGTGTGTCCCTCAGCCCGGCCTGAACCCTCTCCAATCTGGGACCCCTTGGGGGATGTTCGACTGCCGGTTTGGGCCCAATTCCTTTTGGGCCCAAATCGGCAGTTGGACATCCCTCTCACAATCCTGGACTGCTGGCTTCTAACCGCTCGCCTTCTTACCTGCCTGATTGCCCCTAATAGCTTCTGCCTGCCAGCCTGATTGCCCCCTAACCATTCCCCTGCTGGCCTGATCGTCCCCAATTGCTCTCCCCTGCCAGCCTGGTCTCCCCAAGCAGCCTGCTGTTTGGTCGTTACTGTTACTGTGACAGCATCTCAGACAATTTGCATATTCCTCTATTATTAGTATAGATTTACTTCAATACTTTACCCCCATGGATATCTCCTCTATAAGGTCCTAAGTTCCTAAACAACAGTGACAATATTTACTAGTTTTAATTGTAACAGCTACCCCTGAGTATCCGGTAAGTAACTTGCTATCATGTCACTTTCACTATAGTTTGTTTCTAAGCTGCTCTCACAGATCTTTATACACATGGTCTCTAATTTTTATAACTCTGTGGGAAGAAATAATATAATACTACTCTTGTTTTACAGAGACGGTAACTAAAGAGAAAAAAGTTTCATTACCTCCAATTTAGGGTCCAATGACACAGGTTTTGAACAATCTCTCTGGCTACAAAGTCTTCATGATTTTTTTTAAAGGAAAGCACTTTTTATTAGAAATTATAAATTTAGCAGCTTCAAACAGAATTCATGTCTGTGAAGGGCAGAAGTCTGGCATGGCTGAGGTCCCTGATCAGGGTATGATAAGGCTGAAAGCAAAGTGTCTAACCTGACTGAATTCTTTTCTTTCCTCTTTTTTTGGAGCACATCCTCAAAAGCTAGTACAATAAATCCTGCCTTGGGCTCTTCCTCACACCCACAGTTATCATTTGGCAGAAAAACGTTATCAGCATGCCTGAGCTATCCATAGAATCCCTTAGATTAAGTATACTCACTTTGTTCTGCCAGTGGCTAAGTCTCCTTTGCTTCTCTTCCCCAGGGTTTGTTGTAGGCAACTTGTTTTTCTGGAAAGAACCAGGTTCAGTTACAAAATATATTTAGAAAGATTAAAAGCAAAGTACTTCTCCTAGAGCAGTGATGGCGAAACTATGACACACGTGTCAGAGGTGACACACGAACTCATTTTTTTGGTTGATTTTTCTTTGTTAAATGGCATTTAAATATATAAAATAAATATCAAAAATGTAAGTCTTTGTTTTACTATGGTTGCAAATATCAAAAAATTTCTATATGTGACACGGCACCAGAGTTAAGTTAGGGTTTTTCAAAAAGCTGACACACCGAGCTCAAAAGGTTCGCCATCACTGACCTAGAGGGTATTAT